CTCCATGACTGTCCATAAGATTTTATCTCATAAACGCCTACTTTTCACGAATTATGATACAGATTTAAGAGATTGTTCAACTTGTTCTGACTTGTAATAGTAACTGACTTCAACTCAGTCATATTGTGGTGTGTGCTACTGATAGGATTTATCAGTAGTATATGAAGAGACTTTCTTTGGCCTAAAAATATCAAATAACAGGGAGACAAATTTGGTGTCAGGGAAAGCAAATAATTCAGCCCTCGGGAAAAACATGGGAGATGTGAAAGAAACACAAAGAAGCACAATATGAAGGCGATAAGTAGCACAGCATGGAAGATCTGTGCAAATGGTGCGTTGAAGATGAGGTGTGTAAAATTTTGGTAAATAGAGATACATAAACCTCTTGTGAGCATGAACAGTTACTAGAGGAATGTGTCAAGTCCTATCATCGGTGCAGACTGGATTCTACAATGGTTCTATCTATCAGGTCCTCGGTTCGAACCCTTATGATGGGTGCGTACTGTGAAGAGTCTCAAACTATGGACGAAACAACTGTCCAGTTCTCCCAGGTTTTCCATTGATTCATTTACTGATTTCAGCTCATGATGAAATCCTCCATCCAATCAAACAAAATCCGTAAAAAAAATACTTGAATTCGAGCATGCTAAGTGGCTCGCCATCACAGTGCACTGTGAATTGTTGGAATTAGATGATATACGTATAAAACTTTGGCACTGTGGTAGAGTATAACTACATTATGGATAAGATTTTATTTTGATAAATCACACAGTGCTATACAGTGATATTAAGTGATCACCACGTTTAAAGCACAAACTATTGCTCATAATCATATCAAGTTACTCAAACAACTTTTTTCCTTCATTTATCCATAATGGAGTTGGCATTAGATGGTTGAAAGCAATCGGCAGGAAGCCTTGCACCTAGGTTTCGTGCTAGTTGACACTCATCAACAAGCTTGACTGACTAGGGTTCAATCAAAAATATCCAATGCAGTCCTACAGGAGGTCAATTGGGAGCCTGAATAGCTCAGTCGTAACGTCTCCGACTGCAGCACTGGATAACGCAGGTTCGAATCTCAGAAGGGACATGACTTCCTTCGAGGCTGCAGGTACGCCTTGCTGATCAATGCCAACTAGCACGAAACCTAGTTCCAAGGCTTCCTACCGATTGCTTCCAACCATCTAATACCAACAATGAATACACATTTCTGAGAACTCAAAACCAAGAAAGTAACAAACAGCGGATGGTCCAATTTCTTCGTCTGTCCTCTCCCATTTATATGAGCATTTGATATAATAGAATATAGTGCATTAAAGGTTCTACTATGGAGATTCTAAAATGGTGTATATTTAAACTAAATAAGGAAACTAAAAGCCTAGGCATGAGATATAATCTCTTTTAAAAAAATAATAACAGAACAAAGTAGGGAGAGAATAAATGTTCGTGTTTAAGTATTAGTGAAATGACTTATAATATTCAGCTGTGTCCGGTTAACTCATACTACACTACTACAATCTTTTAGCGATACATCTTTTCATTCATTCTTATAGGAGGTGGTTGGGGGGGAGGCGAGCAAGAGAAGGAGGGAGGGGTAGAGCAATAAGAACATTAGTAAACTTCCTAAAATATCTTTAGAATAATAATAATAACATAATTATATAATTGAAAAAATTCCTGTGCAGTTTTATCATACACGCAGAGTTGTACAAAATACTCTCTTAGATATCATCATCTCTGCTTGTGAAGTGTTTTTTTTTTAAAAAAAAGAAAGAGTAATATTCGTCTTCATTTGATATTTTGTTGTCTTTAGTGTTCCATTTTCGACTTGTTTCCCTTCTTTTATCTCTATGGTGAGAAGAAAATAAATAGATAAATAAATAAATGCTAGAGAATTTTGTGGATCCATGCATGAACACACACACACAGACACTGAGGAACTACAGTTGAAAGAGCAGAAGGAAATAACTTCGTATAAATGCTCTTTATCCACTTAGACTTATTCTCTATTCTCATCGAATGAATAATTTGTAGTGAATCCATGTTTAGAAATAATAGAACAGTAGCAATAAGAATTGGGATTAATTTAGGCACGCAGCAGTAATATTTGGTCTAGTTACTAGTCAGTTATTATCATCATTCAGTAGGGCAGTGATTTCTTATAATCTTCCGGTTTAAAAAAAATAAATAACGGGGAAAAAAGACAAGGGCCATTTCATGACTAGAATTTTATGGCTCTAAGGTTTTCCAGTTGTGTTGTTTTTTCTTCTTTCTATCTTCTCTCAGCTATTTTTTGTTGTATGCTTCGAAATATTGGTTTTCTTAGGGAAAAAAAATTTATGACATGTAACCTGGTCGATTCAGTAAGAAGCTAGCGGTTTCCAACCTATTAAGACGTAATCTTACTTTATTTTCATTTATGTCAGTGAGTTTCTGTCTTTCGATTTGTCTTTTCTTTTTGGAATTTGTATCAAATTTCCTTTTTATTTCCAGTTTTTTTTTTGTCATGCAAAATCAATAGAAGGCTAAAGTTGAATGAACTTAGGGTCATTAATTGAGGTTAGACAATCTATTATTTAATGTATGCAGATTGTTTTGTCGTTGAACAGTGATTTGAATAAATACGGAGTGTTATTTACTGGAGATGCGGGTGGGGTGAGGAATGCGGTCATTTAGAAATCAGGAACTACCGGGTATATATTTTTCTTGGACTATATAAAAACTTATCCTTCGATTGATTAAGAGTAATTTCATACATTTATTCCCCTTAATGAATTTGAACAAAGCAAGAACTGCAGTTTTAGCAGAATAAAATGGTACCATCTTTTATTTTGTTGCCTCCTCGTCAGCTGCTTACAGGGCAAAGACATTATTAAATGTATCTACAAAAACAATTTTAACATACTTGCACAGAGTTCATTTTAAACAAAAATCAGTCAATCAATATTCGCATACAGTAATAATATATATATGTATACATATATACATTATATATATACAATATATATATACATTAAACACTATTCCGAACAATAATAATCGTACACAATGAAAACTTTTCAGCATTACGCATTCAGATGAAAGAGAGATGAAAATATCCAGTTATCAGGGCAAAGAAAGACTGATAACCGCTTCTTTCTGGACGCATAAATCAGGTTTCAGGCGCTTGATGGAAATGGCTTTAGCAAACTTAAGGAGAATTGAGCTCTTTAGCTGATTGATAATTTTGAACGACTTTTCGAAGTCCACCTCATGACCCTTGTCGAGGAGATGCCTGGCAATGGCACTGTTTAAAGCATTTGTTCCCTTTACATATAAGCTTTTTGGTACATGTTCAGAAAATCGTATATATGCCCTTCTTTCATTTCTTACAATGTAACTGCACCCGTAGATACATGTAAATTTGTATATACAGTTGGAGTTAATATGAGAAGAAGGATATCTATCGATTTTTGATTGCATCAAAGAGCAAGTTGTTTGATAGACGGGGACGAGCTTAGCCGCAGGATAGGCTATGGCTAGTGATGTGCTCAGCCTTCTGTTGATCATCGCTGAAATGTTTTCACCAAAAAGACTAATTCTCATTGCAGGTACATCGAGTTTCATCTCAACTGTATACACGAAAAAAGTAAAACTACTGCAACTGTAGAATAGATGTATGTCAAGAGATTCACCTAAGTGCACTCTAAAAATATAGAGTGCACATAACGTAGGAGATTAAGCTGACTAATTGTCAACACTCAGACAAGAGAATTTGTGTATAATTCGAATATTTCAGATGATTTCCGGCCTAAGACTGTTACCGAAATTCTGTCTTGAAGAGAACATTAACCATCCCTCTGTTATCCTAGTATTTACGGACACATCACACTTTCAACTAATTTTATTAACAATATCACTTCCACTCTGTGTACCCTTGCATAAACTACTATCTTAATATTACCGTGTCTGTTTTCAATAAGAAAGTATATCTCACCCGCTTGCCGTGACGACTTCCCTATATATGCCATCATGCAATTAAGTCAGGTGGCTCATGAATTCTGTCTCAGTGGCTGAAAACTCGACTGGCATACCTCGTAACCTGAAGGTGCTGGATCCCATTCCCGGTAGGATCATTGATGTCCAGCACTTCTTAATTTCCAAAGGTTCTGTAATTGAATTCATTATGTAGAACTTATTAGTTTATTGTCCTTTCAATTCACTGTATAAGTTCAGATTATAATTTTTTGATCTCTAGAAAGATGTTGACACATCACATCAAGTATGTCCATTATTTTTTGCTAAATTAATCTGTTAAATTATTCAAACAGTATGCAGTTGAAGAAAATCTTATGAAAAAAGTCAATTTATCTTATTTTATCTTCTGAATTGATAAACTTTGCAAGCCTCATCTTTGAACACTGATAAATGGATAGTTGTGATAAAATAATAGAACTTAGATATTTTCAAGTATTGTATTTTGTAGGGATTTTGTTTGATTGGTTGGAGGATTTCATCATGAGCTGACATCAGTTAGAGAACCATTGGAAAACCAGCTGGGAGTACTGCCAGACAGCTGTTACGTCAGCCTAGTTTGGGACTCTCCAACAGTACATACCCACCAGAGGGGTTCGAACACAGGATATTCTGGTTGCATGTCGAGCTACCCCGTAGACCATTGAGCCACTGGGACACGATCCAATGGCCAACCCATGAATTCTAACTCCTGCCAATTCACGACGTAGCGCGACCACTTCGTAATTTCTTCTTCGATGAGTTACTACCTCACCTTCAACATGCTGTACCCTACTGGTCACGGCTTCCCATTAGAACCCCAGGTTAACTTCCTGAATAGTGCTAGTCGCTAGTGAGCATCAGATTAGATATTCACTCAAAGCTGTCACCCACATCATTAATTGCACTTGTACTAAATTATTTCGGATTCAGACCATCTTCTCGTTCTCATGATTACTGTCCATGCATAATCTGATTTTTCTTTCATACAATTTTATTAATTTTAGACTTTAGAGGAAACAAACCGACGAATGTCAATCTATTCACAAACATCTTGTTTACAGCAAATTAATTCATTCCAACATCACAATAATACACTTTTAAATATTTCTAAAATTCCGCCAAATCAAATATTTAATAATTTAAACAAATCCCTATCTCCTGTACAAAGAAAACAATTTCATTCAGATACAGTCAATGAATTAAGAGATGATAGTGGTCTGGAGAATGGAAATATAAAAGGTGATCAGATCAGTGTGATATTTAGTCCACCAAATTTGAATAGTTCAACATCTTATGAGATAAAATCTCCAATACAACAACACTTATCTCATTCACAGCAATCGAAGCACAACATCACAACAACAACACCAACAGCAACAATTTCCAACACAAATTCCTCATTCTACACCAATCTATACTCCCGAACAAGATATTACCTATCCTAAATATGGAAGTCATCATCTGTCTGCGATAGAAAAACTACAAGCAATTACTCAGTCAAGTGTTGCTGCTGCTACTACTGCTACTACTCATACAAATATCAGTAGTACATATTCTAATCTGGAAGATTTAAACTTAACATATGATGATGATAGTACAGGACCATCTTCAAATATTTCGTCGAATGAAACAAACTCAGAATATTTAAATTATGAAAAGTGTAATAATATTATTCATGACAATAGTGAAACTACTCCCAATAGTAATATAAGTAATACTAGTAGCAGTTGTAATATTATGAGTAGTCATAATACACCAGAAGGGGGGAAATTGTCATCAGGTAACGCGTGTATGAAACAAAAACGCCATCGTACTCGATTTACACCGAATCAACTGAATGAGCTGGAAAGGGCATTTTCAAAAACTCATTATCCTGATATTTTTATGCGGGAAGAATTAGCTCTACGTATCGGTCTGACAGAATCACGTGTACAAGTAAGTCAGTTGGTTATTTCTAATAATTATGCTTATTAAAATCACTAAAGCTATGCATAATATTTTTCTCACAGTCACAACAATATAATATAATATTACCTTCATTCAGGACGAAGTGTTTACCCAACGTACAGAATTCTTAGAGTGATTTACAATCTGAAGCATAGACTAACACCTTATGATATTTATCCTTCGTCTGTGAGAAATGTGCCCCAGTAGTCTGAAGGTCAATTAAAACTATGCCCGAGTACATTTTGCTGCTTAGGGACATATTTGAATAAAGCACTGTGATGCATGGAAATTCAGGTATCCCAGTGATTCAAACAGTCCGCTTTCCCTTAATTTACGCGGACGGATTAAACATGCCTCACTACTTTTATATCTACAGGTTAAATTTTTCTGGTAAATCCAAGTGTATTTATCGCCACAGTTACGCATTGGTCTTTAAGACTACAGATTAGATGACAGTTCGATTGTCTTCTTCCGATAACTGACGAAAGTATTGAAAAGCGAATAGAAAGCAAATGCATTACATGGAATAGTGACCTGCAGTACTGTAAGAGTTTGAATTATTTTATTAGGTAACGAAACCATGACTACGCATACTGCAACTTTCAATTATTCTTTTTCATACACAGAAATGTACTTCAAAAAAATGACATACTCGTATGTCGATTCCAGTGATAAGAGAACTCAAATTTATTTAATAGAAGGGAGTAGGCCACTTTCGCAGTATCCTTCAAAACTTAGTAAAATTACAGTAATGCGAAAGGCAGCAGAAAAGGGACACACATTTGTGTAGACGTATATTTCATAAATGTTTTGTTTAAATTCGTCAGTATTTGTCGCTCATAATATTGGGGAAAATTAAGAAACTGTGGGTTTCTTTCTAAAGACTACAAACACTAAGTAAATTTTTTTTTTTAATTTTGATTACGTTGATGCAACGTATTTTTGGTACAGGTATGAAATTTCACAGCGATATCGGTAGCCAATTTGCAGGCACCATAGATATCAGTGTGCGTCGGCAAAGGATCGAACCCCGGACCATGTGTATGGTCGGCGAGAGTACTAACCACTGTGCCACCGACGCACGACACGACCACTGGAAAAATAGGGAGTACTGGACAGCTATTTCGTCCTAGTTTGAGATCCTTCAGAAGTACACACCAGCTGAGATTCAAACCTAGGACCTCCCGGTTACAAGGCGAGCTCGTAGACTATGAATTCCCATGAATTCCAACTTCTGCCATTTCACGATAAATAGCGCCACGAGGAACTGTCCTCTTACCCTACTTAGTGGACCCTATAGGCCAGGTCTCAAACTAGAACGAGATAGCTGTCCAGTACTTCCTGGTTTTCTAATGGCTCTCTAACCGGCGTCAGCTAATGATCACACCTGTAGCCAATCAAATACTCGCAAACCATCACTTAGAAATACACAATGAACAAACCTATCATAGATTTCAACTAGCTTCTTCTGAAGAAGCACCACTATGCCAACGGAGAATGACGAAACCTTGAAAGCTGAAATGTACCAACCTCTTCTTAGGCTAAATGGTAAATATCAACTCTTGGACCTATACACTCATATACATTAGCATACACTCAAATGAAAAGATGCCCCTCAACATTTTGTATATTATAAAGAGATAAATCAGACTTTTTAATTAAACTATTGTTTTTAATTACACACACACATGCATAAATCTTCATAACATGCAACTAAAACCAACCCAGACTCTTTTAAAATGACCTTAAGTAATGAAATAAATATTATAGAATAAGTGTGAAAAGAATTTTAAAAGACCAAATGAAATGGGACATTGAGCAATAATATAATATATTTATACCCAACGAATTATTATCACTTTAAGAATAATAGTGACAAAAAGTTTAGGGTGTCCACACGTTTTTTTAATAGACGAAAACAATTTCATGCTTATATGATAATAATTGTTAATAAGGTGAGAATTCTTTTCTCTGTTTATTCTGTTACGCATTTTGTTTTGTTTTGTTTTAATCATGTGCATAGAAGCAAAGTGTAGTGTGAAGAAAACTCAAACTCACCCAGATCTTCATTTCTGATTTACGCATTCCATACATTCTGTAAGTTACTGGCCAACTAACCTCCTGTTCTTTCAAATTCCCCTAGTTGAATAAAGAAGGATGTGTACTTTTTCTAAGCCTTTCTTCCCTTTCCCCACTTTTCTCCATAGACTTAAAGATTGCTTAAATGAGATAAGTTCAAGCTTAGAATAAACAAAAGAGTTCAGTAACACAAGAACTGCAAAACAAAAAATTATCACTTCTTCCTAAACTCTCTCCACAACTGTTTATATGTAACTGAAGAAAGAAAAAAAAACATCATTTCAATAGTTCATCTTCCCATCTGTTGTTCATCTCTTTTCTCCACGCCTCACCATCATTTCTTCTCTCCCCTGGTATTATCTACTATTTTGTTAAAAAATTTTAAGGTGTGTAGCAATTGGTGATTGTTTCACTTCTTACCTATGAGATATACTCAAAATCAGTAACTAATCGAAAGTGTTAATCAGGTTGTGTGAGTATATATACACACATCCACCCACAACAGACACTAGGTGTAGACGAAAAGACTATTAAATCCGGAGAAATAAACACACACACACAAACATTAACAAATGTTAGGCAAAAATGGGGAAATATATTTTTTTCTAAAATATCTCAAATCACTGTAAAGCAACAAAACACGCAAATTCATGATTATAATAATTATATCATCAATAGAATAAATTATACCTATACTTTATATTCAGGCATTGGAGTTCTACCCTACCAAATCCCTCTACTACCATTACTATTATTATTATTTGTCGTCTGCATTTGCTACTTTTCTAGTTTATTTTTTCGAATTCAAAATCGGGCGGGAAAATTGAATGTTTGCTTTTTAAAACAAGGGATAGTAGGACACTGAAAATAGAACAATGAATTATTCTATAACAAGAATAATAAAAACTAATTTTCAAGTATTGGTTTTGTAGGGATTTTTTGTTTGATTAGTTGGAGGATTGCATCATGAGCTGACATCAGTTAGAGAAACACTGGAAAACCAACAGAGAGTACTGGACCGCCAGCTGTTCCGTCAGCCTAGTTTGGAACTCTTCATCAGTACGCACCCACCGCCAGGGTTCGAACCCAACTCATGATGAAATCCTCCAACCAGTCAAACAAAGAATCCTTACAAAGCCAATACTTGGAAATTTATCTGATGCTCACTAGCAACTAGTCCTATTCTGGCAGTTAATCTGAGGTTATAGTGGGAAGTCGTGACCAGTAGGGTACAGCAGATTGAAGGTGAGGAGAAGTGGTCGCGCTATGTTATGAATTGACAGAAGTTAGAATTCATGGACTGGCCATTGGATGGGGTCCCAGTGGCTTAATGGTCTACGAGCTGTCTCTCATTGTAACCAGAAGGTCGTGGGTTCGAACTCTAGTGGTAGTTGTGTGCTGCTGAAAAGTCCCAAACGAGGCTGACGAAACACCTGGCTCTCCAGTACTCCCTGTTGGTTTTTCAGTGTTTCTCTAACTGATGTCAACTCATGATGAAACCCTCCATCTAATAAAAACTAAGTTAATTGCTGGTGATGTAGCTCATTGGCTTATGCATCCAGCTTACAATCAATGTGTCCAGGGTTCCAATCCTTTTTCCACCTGTTTTATCCTGAGTAGTTGGGTAGTAATCATTAACTTTCAAAGGATGTGTGTGGTTCATAGTCTCCTTATAGACACCAAAGATCTGTTCCGAGTAGTTGAATTCAAACAAACAGCTAAGTCTGATGACTGCTTATGAAAAGATAAAGTCGATCCAAGGAAAACTCATGACACCAGTTCATCATTTTTACTCATATTGTTGTATGATAAGTGACTTATGATCTTATTTTTAAAAAATTATTTCACTGATTAATGAAATCAAAGAAACTTATTATTATTCTTAGATCACTTTGACTGCAGATCAATTATCTACAATTATGAAAAAATTATCTGAAAACTGTCAGAGTAAGCACTTACCATGTATAGACATTCAACAATTATTGGTTAGTTTTAGGATTTCATCATGAACTGACATTGGTTAGAGGACTATTGGGAAACCTGGGAGTACTAGACAGTTGTTCTGTCCTAGTTTGGGACTCTTCAGTAGTACACACTCACTGAGGTTTGAAACTAGGAAATCCTAGTTGTACTGTGACCTCGTAAACCATTGAGTGGGGAATCCGCACTTGAACCAAGGAAGTCGTGACCAGTGGGGTACGGCAGCTCACCGCCGACGATATTCGCTAGTGGTCGCGCCATATCATGAATCGGTAGAAGTTTGAATTCATGGTCTGACCACTGGATTGGGTCCCAGTGGCTTAATGGTCTACGAGCTCGCAGTACAACTAGAATTTCCTGGGTTCGAACCTCAGTGGATGCGTACTACCGAAGAGTCCCAAACTAAGATGGAACAGTTGTCCAGTACTCCCTGCAGGTTTCCCAATGGTCTTCTAACCAATGCCAATTCACGATGAAATTCTGACACCAACCAAATCCCTGCAAACCAACACTTGAATTACACCTTAATTTTCAAGCACTGGTTTGCAGTGATTCGACTAGTTCTAGGGTTAGTCACGAGCTGACAGCTGTTAAAGAATCAGTGAAAAACTAGGGAGTACTGAATAGCTGATTCGTCCTAGTTGGAGACTCTTCATCAGCACGCACCCATCAGGATTCGAACTAATTATCATATCAGCATCCTACTGAAACATATATTTATAAGCTACTAACAGTAGGTAATGGGATATACAATAAGACGACTCTTTTGGATGTTTTTTTCCCTTACTTTCCATTATCTCATTTGTTTACTTATATCACATTTTGATTTGTACAAATTTGTTGAAAAATAAAAATGTCAACTTAAGCGAAAATCGGGGCGAGGTGGGGGGGGCGGGAGATAAAAAGTAAACGACACATGATAATTGTTT